TGATTACGCATATACTGACCTCTTGTGAAAGATAAGTATTATTGTTTAATTAAAGAACGCTTAATTCAAAATAAAATAGAATTGATAGGGAAATATAAAGCATATCAACCTTTAGAAAATACCTAGAAATATATTCATGCAAGCAATAAATTAGTACAAATCTAAGTTTCTACAAAAGTTTATATTGGCTATCAAAACACAGCACAAGCCAGGCCTAGCTAGTGGTTATCGTATATACTCGATCTGCCTTTCCGCCTATTCATTCTATCAGCACAAAATTATGGACGGCTCTGCGTAGTCTTTGTGTACTTTCAGATAAAGACTCTAAAACAACCAAATAGATATAACACGAAATTACTTTAGAAAGTTAACAAGGGTTTACAGTAAAATATCATGTTTTTAACACTTCAGATAAAATTCATTACAAATTTAGACTTTTTGGTTCTTTTTTTATTATGCACTTGGGAGGAATAAATTTTCAAAATTATTGTTTTCGATGTAAGCAGACAGACAGATTGATGTAAATAAAGTTGCAGTTTTATTTCTTTTTATTGTTTACTTCTTTTGACTTGTAAACACAGTTTATTCTAATTTTAGAAATTAAGAGATTAAGCCTTGAATCGTTTTACAATGTATTAGAAAAATGACAAAAAAGAGCAACGATAATGTGTCATATGATGATTATTCTATAATTATGGTTTCTGATTTTCGGTTTTAATAAATCCACCCTGAAACAAAATGAAATAAAATAAATCGATGTTTTCCAATAAATACTAGAAATTGTTGTTCAGCTACGTTAAGGTACCACTTTCCAAAGTCATTGTGCTCGTGAGATTTAACCCTTTCCATACGAACTACATTGTCTTGGAATATTACGCTGAAGAAAAAGAACACGTTTCATCCCTCAGAGATAAGTTTGTTTTTATAATTTCATATTATCTGGTCTTAGAAAGCTTTCATATAAATAGTACTATGTTTTGTATCTGTTATTGCTCTCTTAAGAGAAATTAATGTGAAAAGAACATACGTATGTTAGTATACTCATTACGGTATTAAAAGCGAAAACTCCAGAAAACGCCGATTTTAAGACACTTGAATAAAAGTATAAAACAGCTAAAAATAAACATCGATTAAAAAATAAAATAAACTCCGAAATACAGAGGCTCTGTCAATAAACACTTAAGATTTTGGCGATCGGATATCAATTTGTGTTATGGTTTCTAACCTATACTGTTACCGAAACCTAATTTTAAACACATTTCTTTTAAACTACTTGATACTGGTTACTAGTAACATGTTTTCTTTTTTTTATCATACATGTTTTGATTATTAATGTACTGTCGTCCTCAGGGAAGTCCCGAGAAATTCAGTTTCTTTTAAGGTTGGGATTCGATCCTGAGTCTTCTTGATTGATAGGGTGGTGTGTTATTTACTCGCCTAGTTAATAATTAAATATATAAATATTAGTAACTAATTAATTATTTAGTTTTAGTTTATCACATAGGTTACTAATGATATCAACCTTTGTTCTTTAATATTCACTCAGATATCGGTATAGTGTTTAGTGTTATTCACGAAGATTATATTCAATTTCAATAAGAAAAGTGCAGCGAAGTACTTTATATGCGAGTTTCAGATATTATTACACAATTTTGTTTGTTAGCTTTTGGATATAGGCGCAAAACAAAACTGGTACACAATTTTTAATGACAAGCCTGATATTTTGATAGTGTCATTAAGTGGGATACAGAAATTTGGAAATATCTAGCATTTAGAAATTACGTTTCCGTGAGGTTTGTTTTTGTTTTTTTAATTTCGCGCAAAGCTACATGAGGGCTATGAGAGTGGTAATGAGAAATATTTGTTTTTATATTCGAAATGATAAGAAAATGATCAAATGATAAGAAAAAAAGATAAGATTGCTTTATTTCATTGAAAAGATTAGGTCACAAAGAATAAAGATAAGATTGTTTTTTTTTGTTGGAAAACTGAGATAGTAAAAAATAAAGATGAGACCGCTCTATTTCATTGGATAGTAACAATGTTTAGTTTAGCAGAATGACCAATATTCTATCAGCAGTTTCGGAAATATTGCCGTGTAAACCGAGTAACTTAAAAGCTCAACATTTTAGGCCTTAGGGTAATTTAATTTCTGAAACCTCTCGTGAATGGAAAGGTCATTAAAACAACAGAAAAGTTCTTGATATATATATATATATATATATGCTTGTATGCATGCTTAGGTTGAAGGTTTGTTTGTTTGTTA